TGGAATAACTTGGCCTAGAGGCAGGTGTCCCTGCCCATGGCAGGAGGGTGGAGAACTAGATGATCTTTAAGGTCCCTTTCAACCCAAACCATTCTATGGTTTTATTTTGCTGTATTTTATTTTTATAGCATCCTCTTGCCTGCAGTGCTGAGTGCTCAGATGTCCTTGCAGACTCCCTGGCTGCTCAGAGGGTGCAGGAAGGTGTTTGTATTGTCTCTCCACTGGTTCCTCCTAACACCTTCCTGTATCACACAGCTAACTATAGAGTGTACGTAGCAACAAGGAGCCAGAATTTGAGGGTTTGTAGACTTGTGGTAACCTGAAACTATTTTCATGTACTGCAGAAGTTAGGGATACTGAAAACATGTTTTTCACATCCTAAAGTGATTTCTTTGTGTCTGCACACAATGGAGTAAGAATAAGGTCTATTTATACTAATCATAGAAGACTGATCAGCTTTTAAGAGCACCTCCAAAGCACTATATCATTCTAATTTTTACAGAATTTGTTCCCCACAGAAGACATACTGTGCATTATACCTTTTCATTCACACTTAATCTCTTCCTCCTTCAATAACAAATTTTTTTTTTTTGAGGGAAAGGATGATCCTGCAGTGGAGATGCTATCTTAAAACTCAGATATGTAGGTTTGTTTCCAGAAGACATTCAATTCATCATCTGTGAATTGAAGATAATGTTCCTTTTTCTCCTTTCTAAGAGTCTTGTGAAAATGAGTGGAGTGTGGATAGAAAGGCATTGAGATAGTGTGGGGAGTGTTGTGGAAGGAATTAAAATTCTCTGTTCTAAAACAATGGAATGAATGCCAAGCAGCAGCAGTATGAAATGAGTGAAATTAAGCTCTGGTCCAAACCAGGTGTTTTTCATTCCCACAGTTCATTGACTCTGACTCTGATTTTGATCTCAGATAATACACTGTCACTGGTTTAGCTGAACCGAATCAAATCATTATTACCAGCTGCCAAGTGATCTGCACAGTAACATTTTCTAGTGTTATTTGGCACACATAAAATAAAAATACTAGTAAAAATTGCTCATAAAAATAACCTCCAGTATAGAGAAGATACTGATCACCTTGGGTACGAAAAAGCAGCAGAAGCACATGGAATAGTTTACATGGCTTTTCTCATCCTGCTAATCTCTTTTATTCCAAAGGTGATACTTAAATCTTTTGCTGAAAGCTTTCATTACTTTTTAATGGATGTTACCCTTTAAAAATGTTGTTATTAATCCCTTGGTTGAGAAAGACTTCAAATCAAATTCTGTCTTTACTGCTTCCTTTTTGAGCTGTGTCCCACTTTCTGTTCTTGAAGCTGAGGAAATGTTTTTAATCTTTTGTAGGTGCACAGTGGAATGATCTAACTTAGCAGTGGTTTTAATGACTTTATCCTGCATGAGTGTTCATTTCTACACTGCAGGAACAAATGGATGTAAAGTAAATGATTGCTTTTTGCCAAGTTCAGAATGTCAGTAAGGCTGTTTGTATTAGAATGACATCCTTTTTAAATCATGCCATTAGAACTTTTTTGAACAGCAGTAGTTTTGGAGGGAACAACTGTTGAGCCAACCATCCATCCCCAGCTTGAACACTAGATACAAAGTGGATCTGGAGTAAAGGAGAGTTGTTTGCTACTTTTCCACCCTCACTCTCCTCCCAGGACAACCTCAGTCATGAGCTCCATAGGCCCAAAAGAAGCTGAGCAAAAACTCAGTTGGAAACTCCCAAGTATCCTGTGATTTTTGCTCCAGAGGAAACACCTTTAAATGGGAAAAGGAAGGAGTGCAGCAACTTTCTTTCTGTATTTATCTGTAACAGCTGACAAACAGTTTTCTTCCCTTTTTTTCCCCCTTTTATTGTTGGAAGAAGTGTCTATCAGACTGGACCTAATGGATTTTCATCAGCTCCAAGCAAGAGCATTGGTGCCCTTCCCTTTAACTTCTTCTGACACTGTAACATTTTGACACTTCATCATTTTGCAGACAATCTAGTTTTCTTTTTAAAAATGTACCAGATTTGTTGCTTGTGAATCTTTGCTTCCAAGACAAATACAAAAATTATTACAACTTACAACATAACACAGTGAAGCAGCCTAATTCTCTTTGCCATATTTCATTGGGATTTTGAGAGTTTCTTTAAGTCAAAAAATCAAAGCAAATCTTTGGGAATATGAAGAGGAGAGAAAAATGGGAAGTAACATAGGACAGCAAGAACTAAGAACATGTTTTTACACCTGTGCTGTAAAGTCCGTGCAGTTGGGTTACTCAGGGAAGTTGGGTTATATCCACTAGTTATGTATTATTAATTTGTGGGTTTCTCATCAGGCATTTCATATCCTCTCAGTTTCTATCATCTGCCAATAATGACAGCTAAAGAGATTGGCCAGCAAATTCAAGCACTGTGTCTTTTCTATAGATTACTCTCCATCTATGGATTGTTCCCAAGGCTGTGAACTTGGGTGGTGGATAACATCTCTTTTCCTGGGCTGTTTATCATGTTCCCTTAAAAATGTGAGGTCAGGTGGAGAGTTTGGAGGCAGAGAAAAGGTCACTGCTTCCTGAGCCTGTCCCTGCAGGAGGCTGGGGAGATGCAGGCTCTGGTGACAACACACGTGGAGAGTGGAACTGAGATCCCCAGGATGATGCCAAGCCTGGCAGCCAGAGCTCACATGGCAACAGCCTTGCAGACCCAAGGAGAGGGCAAGCAGAATTTGCTGTATTGTTTTTCAGGATTTCATCTTCTTGATGTAAACACTTGTCTAAGGAAAGCTCTTTAGTGTGCAAAATATCTGCTCAGGTGTCTGTCTATCAGCACATGAAAATATACACTGGCATTAATTACAGTGTAGGTGCTACATTTTAAAAAATAAAATGAGGAAGATTACAAATCTGCATGATAGAGACAACTGCAAAATTAGAGTATCAGTCTGGAATAGCAATGACTTCATTCAAGTTGCATCCTGTGTAATTGTCAAGGAGCTCTAAGTACAAAAGAAAAAAAAAACCAACAACAAGCCAAAGCAAACTTCCCACACAAAAAAAAAAAAAGTGTATTTTCATTCCCAAACTTCCCACAAAAAAAAAAAAAAAAGTGTATTTTCATTCCAGGCTCAACAGAACACTGGGTTCTGCATTTTTTAATGTTGGGTCAGGAGGTGCTTGCACCTGAATTTTCACCTCCCTTGAAAGTTCAGGGATGTCTGAATGCACCATGCTCTGTTCCTTATTTTCTTCCCTCTGCACTTAGTACTAAGTTATTAGTCATTACTCATCTCCTCTTGGTATGCATTTTTAATTTGAACAGCACCTGTTGAAATGCTTTCATAGATGAGTAATTTGGATGCTACTGACATAATTAGTGGCTTCTATTAGATAAGCAGTGTATTACCTTAATAAGCATAACCATCTATGCTCCTAACAGACTTTTGTTGTGATGTACAATACAGTTAATAATTGTCAATGCAAATGTGTTCTCAAGGCAAGTAAATGAAGGATGCCTGGCTGGAAAGTTTTAAACTGGTTGAAACAAGGAAAATTAAAAACTAAGGCAAATTCCATTGACTGAAAAGAAGTCTTTTAACTTCAAATTGTAACTTCATTCATTTCTTTTTTAATCACTTTGAGGGAAAAAAATCTCTCCTCATTGTATGGAAATTGGAATGTGCTGCCCAGGGAGGTGATGGATTCACCATCCCTGGAGGTTTTCAGGCTGAGACTGGATGTGGCACTCAGTGCCATGGGCTAGTGACCACGGTAGGGTTGGACTGGATGATCTTGGAGGTCTTTTCCAACCTGGTTGATTCTGTGATATGATTCTATGTCACATATGTTTTCCTCAGACTAACACCTCCTGTGCCACAGAGAGGGCCCATCAGAGCTGGGATGTCCTTGCTTTGGTGCAAAGAGGGACTCAGAAAACACTGAGTGGTAGAAACAGCCAGTGAAATTTGTTTTCTTTGACCAGGTGTGTGTATGGGCTAGAGCTATTCTGGGGTATCAGAGCTATTGCTATTAAGCAAGAAATGGCACTGTCATCACTAACCTGAAAGGTCAGCTCTGTTGGAAGTGCCAATTACTGGCAATGTATGAAGTGTGTTTCTTGGGCTAATTGGGAAATATTTTTAAAAGACAGTAGAAATCATGTGAGTGAGTTGGGAACTTTGTGTTCCTCCAAGCGAATTACTGGGGTGGATTCCTAAGGGAGATGGGGAAAATGCTTCTAAAAAAGTGTGATAGATATCTTTTGGGCATCAGAGCCTCGTTAATGGTCTCCTGCCTTTGTCCTGGTTTGTTGTACCAATATAAAGTTTTAAAACTGCTGATGCAGGAATTCCAACAGACTTTAGGAAATAATCTCTGCACAGTGCTTGGCCACACTGTGTGCTTCCACACATGGTTGCTGGATTTTACTCTGTAATTTTCATGTGCATAAATGGAGAGCAAAGAAAAAGTGCTATCAATGGAGGAGTTAGCAGTGCATTCACCATGGGCTCTTTACATCCTTACATATACAAGGATAATAAATAATATATCATACATGCTCACAGAGTGTGTTAGTTGCCTACAGCAGCAGCCTCTAGTTTTTGTCTGTAGATCTGTAATGTATTAAGGGCAATTTTTCTGTCATTGACTTTATTTTTTAATGTGGTGAATTCATGGTGAAAGCTTTCCCCCCTGCTCATGATGCAAAAATCACATGGTCTGCAAACTGTAGCTGGTGTTTGAAGTTTCTACAGAAGGAAAAGAGACTCTGCCCAAAGTCTGACTATATTTGCTTGCTGCTCTTACCTCCTGCATTCTTGGAGACTCCTTGATGGGCCCTGTGCAGCTGAGGTCACAAGGTGCCCAGACAACAAAAAGGATGAAGTATATTTTTCATAGCCAGAACTTGGAGGCACAGTGTGACCTAGTGTCTCCTACTTTTTTTGCTGTAAAACATATTGCAAAACTGTCCCAATCACTTTCTTATTTTGTCTCTTTTCACAGAGCGATGAGGTGTTAACAGTCATCAAGGCCAAAGCCCAGTGGCCAGCCTGGCAACCTCTGAATGTGTAAGTAAGTAGGGAATTGTATGTCTTAATAGCCTTGTGTTGGCTAATGGGCCACTCTAAACTCATTGTCTCACATAACCATTCACTCTGGTAAAGAAATAATCTAAAAATATGTTGATAGGTGAGGTTTTCATCTTTTTTTGGGGGGGGGGAAAGGGTTGTTTGGGGTCTTTTTTACCAACAACTGCTTCTCTCTTTCTTTCCTCTTTAGCATCTTTTCATTTTTTACATGTTTTGGTTCACTAACTCTCACAGCAGGACTATTCCATGGACTTTGTGCTTTCTGCACATAAATAATATTTATTCAATGCTCAAACATGTCATACTGTTCTGCATGTCACAGCAGTATTTTTTAGCATCCTGTCTCACACACTGTGACAGTGCATTGATACAGCAAATCCTCATCCACCAACAAAAAACTCATAGAGGAATAATTCTTTAAAATACCTATCTGAACCACTCTGTGGTAGCATCATGATCTTGATGGTGATACAACCATGGTTACTTAACCAAGTGAGCCAGCAAACTGTATTCCCAAGGTCCCACCTCTGGCAGAAAAGAGAACAAAACTCTTCTTTCAGGATACTCTTGAATTTTCTGGTAGCCTTTCAAGGGAGGTGGGGGAGGTGTCAGGTGGTTCCTGAATAACCTATCTATCCTTGGCCCAGAGTTCATACTAATTATCCAAGCCCAAATGAGTGAGACTTACAAGAAGTGACTAAGGATGAGAAGCCAGTAGAAAGGGTCACCTGATTAGCTGACAGTCAAATAAAGTCCTTGGAGAATCAGGGCAATTAGTTTTCTGCAAGATGGTAAGACCAGGTAGTCCTGTTTCCTTTGTAAAAAGTGTAGGGGAAACAGTTAGTGAAACCCTCTGCCTGTCTGTGTCATCTGTGTTTCAGAAAGTATGTGAAAATGTGGAGGTTAGCCAGAAAAAAACTGCCAAAGAGTTCAGTTATCAGAAAACGTTCCCTACCCTAAGGGGCTTAGAAACTCTTAAGCAGCTTAGGACTTAAGCTATTCCCTTTATCCCCACCCCTCTGAAAAAAAAAAAAAAAAGAAAAAAGAAAAAAAAGGTTAGGAGGTGAGCACAGCTTAAAAGATTTCTGATAGCTGATCCTTCTTTAATCTAGAAAAAAACCCCACTCAAAACAACACCATAACACCAAAGTATGAAACTGCTCGTAGCACAGAAGCTAAGGAAATGCACAAGAATGAAATTTTCACTCAAGGTATAGGACAAGACTTTACCACCATGACTAACCTTCAGAGCAGCTTACCTGAGCAGGAGATGTATTTTCCATCACTTGGATATATTTCAAGCCCAAGGGAGTTGTAGGCTCTGCACAGGAATTGCAGGTTAGGTTTTTTTGGCTGCTGTAATGCAGGTGGTCAGTTGAGGTGACAGTAGTGGCATTCCTTATTTATGCTATACATCAGAATGTGATCTGTAAAATATACATTGGAAATCAATACATTATTCCCTTGCTCAATTAGTCAAGTCCTCAGACTGCTCAGCTGAGAACTTAAACCAACCCAGCAGCATGTTTGAACACAAATACTTGTGTTTGTGTCCAACTGGCATATCACAAGGGCAAAATACAGACTGAACTGCAATGAACCAGCTGCAATGGGCATCTGAATTTTATTTGCTCTTTTCTCCAAAGTGATAAGATCATAGTCCTTAATCATCTATCTCCTGGATATCATCAATATTTGGTTATACAAATAGCTTATAAACACTGTGCCACCTAATGATTTGAAAAGTAAATCATGGGTGTATGAAGGTTATACAGAAATAAGGAAGCTTTTTACTTATTGCTACTTCTTATATTCCTTATAACCCTCATTTTTTCTTGCATACTTGTTAGACACTTTCTTCTAATAGAATGCTGCATTTCTCTGTCTCCCACTTCCTCTGTACTTTTAAAATTTGTGCATTTTCTTGCCTTACAAGCTTATATATCCTTCCATAGCTGCATTTAACCCACTGAACACCTTATGCCTGTGGTTGGGTTAGCTTTAAGGTTCTTTTAATATAGAAAAGTGAGTAAACAGCCTCTCTCCATACAGTAAAATGGACAGCATGAACAGTCCAAAAAGAAAAACTGATTTAAAACTAAACTGCAGTATGACTGTAATGCTAAGATAGTGCCTAACTGTTGCCTGAAGCAAACTTAATGACCATTGTAGGGAGCCCTGGGGGCTTAGCTTACGTGGTTAACTGCAGCTAATAGCTTGCAATAGCAACAGGTCTCTGAGCACAGTAGTGTGACCATTGCTTGGCTAGCACATGGTTGGGAAATCAGCCACAAAACCCAGAGCAGTCACTGCCCTTAGAGCAGCAACATTACTGTGCCCAAAGAGCACTGAACCCACAGTAACATCATTGCCATCAAACTTCCAGCAAAGCCATAATTACATTTGTACAGCCTGTCTCGTTGATAACAAGTCATCATGAACAACTGCAAATAAAAGGGTATGAAATTTCTAGCAGCTAAAGCATGAAGAATGAAACAGGGACTAGCCTGATGAACTGTCTGAGTTGTAAATTCATTCTCTCAGTGGCTTGGCATGGTAATGAAGTGGGATGAGTGAAATGTGGTTATATTTGACATCTCACTGGATTCATGTCATCCTAAAAGAAAATACTTTTTTTCTTTTCCTGAAGAATAATGATGTGGTTTTCACCTGAAGGATGACTTGATTCAAATTTTGAGATGCTCGAAAGTACTTTTTTTAATTCCCTAAGTGGCTGTTTCCAAGTACAGCTACACTTGTGTAAGAATAGAAGTTGTAATGTTGTATTGTATGGCCCATATTTTCCCTTAAACAGGCACTCTGGGAATATTTGAAAAAGATTTTGTGTGAGGTATGTCTTGTCTAAACTGAAACCCCTGCTTTAATTCTGTGGTGAAAGCATTACCATCTCTGTAGTGTCTATATTTATAGCCATAATGAACAGCTGCCTAAGCTAACTACACCTGTAGGAAATCTGCTGCAGCAGGAGATCTGTGGAGTGAAGCAGTGCTCAGGAAGTGACAAATTTGGGGGCTGGCAGATTGCTTTGGGTGGCCACCACTCTGGGCACAGGGGATGTGGCTCCCTGCTGGCAGCAGCAGGAGAAAAAGCTCCAGGCCAGATTGATCAGAGAGAAAGCAAATCTCTACACTCTCAGATTGCTCCAGGATATGATCCAGCTCACAAAGGGAAATTCAGCTCAGAAGTGCATCTCACCTAAAACACCCAGAGATCCTTGTCCCTCTGTGCTCCTGTAGGATGTTGAGCAGTGTCATTCCATCTTACAATTCTTTGCTGGCACAGAATAGTAGAAAGTGATTTCAGGATTGCCTGAAAAAAAAAGAGAAATAGCATGCTCAGTCATTTCTTGTCTGAGTGGATTTGACCAATGGATTCATTTTTTTCACAAGTGCAAAATGTAAGAAATGTATCAGTTACCACTTTATAGGATACTGATTACCTTGTTTTCAGTTGGTTTAATTTCTTTAATTAATGTCTTTACTTTTTATTTCTGTAGATCTCTGGAGGGTTTTTTCACCCCATGTGAATCTTTATCTTTCTTGTTATCTCCCTTTTTTTCACCCCATGAATCTTTATCTTTCTTGTTATCTCCCACTGTCACATTTTGCTGTCTCTTCTAAAATGGGGTAAAAGCCAATATTTGTCAATCCAGATGTAAATCAAGTTTCCTTCCACAAAATGTCAGAATGGCACTAGGAAACATTTTCAAAGTTGGGAGATTGTGTGTACAAAAGGAGAGGAATGAGAAGGCCAGACAGAGTCTCTGGTTTCTAGGGCAACATGATGGTGTGTCTAGCTCAGCTATTTTCTCCTTTAATGATTTTATAGTTAGCTGGGATTCAGCCAGTGAGGTTTAATAGTGTCAAAAAATAGAACTCTAACCCCCAGTCTAATCAGAAATAATAATGCACAAACAACACAATATACAAAAACAAAATACAGGGAAAAGTCAGCTGTGACTTTTGATAACATGAAGAAAAATAGATCAATTTCTCTGGAGCTATGAAATAATTCTTAGTGCTCCAGCTCTGCATTTGGTGAGAGGTTAAACTGTATTTTTGGTCAGAGAACTTGTGGCATATCCTTTCCTTCCTGCTGTATATTCTACCTCCACACTGTGGATGTGACATCTATAGGACCCTAAACCATCAGGTGATCCTTACCTGGATGACTTTAGAGTTCACAGATGTCAGTAAACTCCTGTCAGATGGATGCAGGAGAAATTGGTGTTGAATGAGCTGCTTATCCATCAGCAAGTCCTAACCAAAACACTTTAGTCAAAAGGCTTTGACCTCAAAATGAAAGCTTGCACATAAGAATTGGGTTTGAAATGGTAAATGTCTTGTTTCACATTGAAAACATAAACTCTATCTAGTGTTTTTAGGTTGTTTTTTAAAAAGATAAATTCTAAATTTTATCCAAAAGTAGAAGGGTTTTTTTTCCACCAAAACCAAATATGCTACTTGAAGTGAATCTCAGACAAAACACATTTTCAAAAATTCCATATACAATACTAAGCATTTTTACAAGTTTTTATAATTGATGTCAATTTGAGATTGGGTGTGACTGTGCTCAAAAAATATATGTATATATTTGGACATATGACCAAAGCTTTAATCATATGAATTTCCACTTTATTAATCATTCAGGAACTTAAGAATGAGTAAACCCAACAAGATTTGCTGTCCTCACAAATTGGTTAGTCTGTTTTAATGTCTCCACAGAGCTCCAGTTAAATGAGAAAATCTTTTTTGATTTGGGGTTTCTTTTCTACAGACAACAGGACAAAAAAGTGCTGAGTTGTATAGTAGCAGCTCAAGGCTGCAAATATTTACCTCTCCTAGGAGAGATTCATGTGCAGCTGTACAGTAGCATGTTCCCTGGGTCCTTGCATTTCTAGTCATATACATTTATTAGGTGTTGGTAAAAAAATCCTGATCACAAAACCACATCATGCTTATAAAAAGAATTAATGTCTTAAGTGTGATGTGTATTATTGAGCCTCAGGGAAACTTCATTGTCTGACAGATGGTCTGACACCCACATCAAGGAATTCAGAGCTCAATCTCCAAAAAAAAAAGGAAAAAGAACTAAGGCAGAACATATGTGTTTGTTCAAAAAGCAAAAAATGGTATCGATCATTTTTTGTCACAGCAAGCACATATGGCAGTTCCATTTTCTGTCACCATTTGCTTTCTATTTAAAATTCAAATGTCACTAGTCAAGGAAGAAAGTTGGGTATTAAAACATAGAAAAGATTTATCCAAGAAGAATCACTGTAAGAACTTTATACTAATTGCTCATGGAAATTAATGACCATCCAGTTAAATCAAACTTACTCATCCCATTCTGTCCTAGCTTTTGTTTTCTGTGCATGTTCCTCCCATTGGTAGTTGCTGTTTTATGATGATTTCCCAACCATCTGTTGTCTTTCCTTGAGCCAAAATAATTTCCCTTTATAATTTAGTGAGTAATCACGTAAGCATTATTTTCATGCAATTATATGTCTACTTACTACTCCTGACTCCTCATTCTTGTGTAAATACTCAGCAAGTTACTGGGACAATTTGCCATTTAAATTTCTCGTGAGCAGAAATCTATTTGCAAAATTTCAAACTTGTGATTTTTGTTAGCCCTTTGCCTTGCTATTAATGCAATGATAATTAAACATTTAATTCACATTTCCAGGCAGGGTAGGGATGCTGAATGAACTGCAATGTGTATTGTGTTCATAAAGGTGGTGGAATCTTGGGCATCTTCAGGGAAATGGAAAGTGCTATTCCAAGCTCTTGACATGTGCAAATTAAATGGTTCTAAAAACCAAGACAATACTATTTTTAATTTTTTTCATGGATTTTAAGGAGCATCTACGTTTTTGTAGAAATTCCAATAAATAACCTCACAGTATTTTTTTTTTGTTAAAAGGAGATATTTGGTTTAACATACAAAACAAATTAAATGGATAGAAAATCAAAGTTCATTGCTAGCACAGTCTCATAAAGAAATCTATGCTGTTTATCTGGTATTGTTGATGGGAGAGGAAAGGGGAAGACATCTGGCTGTGATGGTTCTCATGCTGGTTGAAGAACTAATCTGTCACTGCAAACAGGGCATGGTTTGCACATCAGCCAGGTGAAAAAGGAGACATACAAAGCAACAGGACTCTTACCATATCCCAGAGGATTTTCTTTGTAAATACAGCTGCAGTTACTCCAGGCAGACAACTTGTAGCCCCAAACCTCCTGGGAAGGGAAGAGTGGTTTCCTACATCTGTCCAGTTCATCATCAGCCTGGCCTGGATAAAATCCAGTAATGCCATAGATTGCAAAAGGATTCCTGAAATATGATTTGATTGTCAATGCACAGTAAGTGATCCAAGAAGTGACACAAAGTTATTCTAAGCAAGAGCAAATGTGCCAGCACCGTGTGGGATAACCACACCTAACTGTTGGTGACAACCTGCAAAGAACACACAAAAAACAGGAGTTTCACAAACTGCAATCCTAACTTGAGCTATCTGAGACCTTTTTTCAGTGCAGAAAACCTGGTCACAAAGTCCCTTTTGTGATGCATTTAAAAAATCCTCAGATTAACGATATTTTAGAGCAGTGTTTGTCCTGATGAGTGGTTTAAATGTCAGTGGTAATGATACAATCCCCTAGTTCAATATGCAGTAACATATCCACCTCTTGTAGCTGGTTATAGGCAACATTCTCAGGTTAAAGGTTTACATGCAGCAAGGTAAGAGGTTGTTATGGAGGAGTTTTTGTAGTCCAAAAGCTAAATGTTATAAGAAGTTTTGTGGCTTTCTTCATTTTTTCCATTGTGAAATAACACAGCCAAACTCTTACAGTCACTCTTACAGCTCAGAGGCACAAACAGCTTGACATTAAAGTGCTTTTTGACTTTTTATCTGGATGTCAGTCAAATTTCATTGGTTCAGTGTTGATGTTACTGTAGCTTTCCTGTCTCTAGCTCTTTTGGGACATGCACATTCTTAAATTATTCATTAGCTTAAGTGCTTACCTGCCCTGCATTTAAGCAGAACTTAAGAAGGATTCTCCCCCTCTTTCTGTTCCACTCTGAAATTCTGGGTTTATGTTCAGGTGTTGACACCTGTGCACAAAACTGTTTGTTTATGTAGTGGTACTAATTCTGTTCCATCACTTCATAAATAGTTTTCTTAATAATATCATGTAACATCTTAACATCTAATTTGTTCTCTTAGTTGCAGACTTCTAGGAGAGTAATATTTTCCATTCAATTTTAGATTTTAATTTTCTCCCTCTCTTTTCTTTGATGTCAGTTGGCTTTTCAGGATGTTATGACTTTAAAGTTTGTTCCATGAAACAGATGTTGTGTAGGTGCTGGTGGGCAGGTGCTGCAGAGCTGGAAGTTCAAGGGTGTGAAGTGTGTTTCCATGCTCATAATGTTATTTGTATCAATAGCAGAAAGTTCTAAAGATGAGCAAGTAAGAATGTTCATCTTGGGAGGTGTAGATGTGCTGCAGGGTAAGTGTTTAAAAAAGGATGCTGCTTTTGTGGACTAGAGGTAGAATAGACAATTCATTTGCTGTTTCAGAAACTTGTGGTCATGTAACCAGCTAAATTCTTAACTTAAAAAGGAATAGTGTTTTCACATCATCAGCATCACCTAGAATTGGCACTAAACCAGTGGCTGTGTGGTCCACAACAATCTCAACTACCTACCACCCCCAACAGTCATCAGACTTAAACTGGTTTCTCTCCTGTTTGCTCTTTTCCTCTTCCTATCTGAAAAGGCTGCTACTTTATCCTGAGCTGATCAGATTCTGGTTACTCAAATGAATCTAGTATCCAGACTCAAAGCATGGGTTTAGGATGATTCTACCTTAATACAGCTCTGTGAAAAAATCTGGAGGGATAGAAGATATTTCAAACTATCATATGTTCCATATAGTTATTAAATCCATAGTGCATATCAATTTTTTCCCCAGCATAAAAACCTATAAGACTACCTGAATTAGAATTGAATTTCAAAAGGGTCTCATAGCCACTAGTATTTTACACTCCCCTGTGCTCTCTAATATGCTCACCTGATCACATGAATTTTTACATACAACCTGAGTCAGAACTTGGACAGTGGTGAAGCACTGCACAAATTCAGTGTTTCTGAAAATGATTTGGGTGGTTGGCTTTGCCTCCACTGCTGCATGGCAAGCATCTAATCCATTGGTATTTGAAAGTAATTATTTGCATTTGTGCTACCACAGCTAGAATCATTTCTAGCAGCCATCGAGGTGAATTGAACAGCTAGCTCTGATATTTTTACAGTGTACTCCTTAGGACTGTTGTTGTGTACTGTTTGAAATATAAAATTCCTGTAGGGAATTCTTAGAAACCCTTATAATGCAGTAAATCCTTTAGTTACTTGAAGTCAGTTAACAGACTTTTAAAGAGTAATCACTGCTATGTACTTGGCAAATATATCAGGTCTTTATTCACAGAGTGAAGTTGATACCGTCATTGATTATTTTATTCCTTTCTATGAGACAAACTGAAATCTGACTTCTATCTCTCATTAAAAAAAAAAAAGTCATTTGCATCTCTTTCTGGGAAAGGCAGGATTAATGACATCAAACACTTAGCAACTCCTCTACTCAGCCTTTAATTCAATGTAAGATAATTCACAGAGTGAGAAGCAACTTCTAAAGACTCTGGAACAGAAGTAGCCAGAACATTTTACTCATTAGCAAATAAATGCCAATTTCTGCAACTTGCCTCTTGAAGGGGAAATGAGATATGCTAACTTTTAGACAGCTTACATTGAAAACTGGGTGATAATGACTCAAAATCATTGTCTTTGGGCTGTTCTGCTTTTTCCAATGAGCTGAGGGTGCTGTGAGCCAGAGAAAATACACAAATGAAATGCCACATTTTTACAGGTATGCACTTCTGGGAGGAATACACTCCTTATGACTAGAGTAGAACAGTGTATGAGCACTACTGTGTGTATGTCATTATTAGTTACCTAACTAAAACCACCTGACATTTAAAATCAATGTGGTCTTTAGATGCTCTAAAATAGTGTGTTTTGGCATAGAATTGAAAAAAGAAGGAAAAACCTTGACTTGACTCCATATTGACCCAAGTCCTGTAGCTGAGGAAAACGTGGGTTGAGCTCAGAGAGGTATTTGGTAGAGCAGAATTACCAACATGATATTTTAAATAATTTCTTACTTCTTGCTGCTCATGAGAGAAATGCCACAGAGAGGTCCAGCTCTTCATCTGTGAACAGAAGCCTCCAGTTCAGGCCTGGGTTTATTCCCATTAGCATAGGAATGTGGCAGTTGCTCCTCAGCATGGCAGAGCAGTTGGTGATTCAGCAGATTCCTGGGAAGGGAAAGCTGAGAACAGTTGGGTGAATAGAGGCATTTTCACATCCACTGGCAGGAACCTGCACAAGTCTTGGCTGAACCCTCTAGGGCTGGCAATGACCATTAATCTCTCACTCACAGGAGCACTACAACTCTATTAATGAGAGCTTTTGTAGCACTTCCAAGAAGTTTTGGCATTAGAACTTAAATTATCTTTTCAGGGAGTGCAGAGAATGTTTTAAAAGCATCCCAGAAATTAAGGTCTCGGAGCTTTTCTCTGTTATTTTAGTCCTGATTTGTTTTAGGTGTTCTGACAGATTTTTTTATTGTACCACTAAGACATGAGCATACTGCTACAACTCTGCACTCTGATGTCTCCTTCATCCACTGAGCTGCAGATGTCCCTGAGTGATGCCAAAGCTGTTTGGAGACTCAGCCACCCTCTCCCTGTCCTGCTCCTCCATCCCCACGAGCCAGACACGGTTCTGTATTTCCCAGTTTGGAGCATCAGTTTCAATTCCCTAGCAGCAAACCTGGATGCAGTTCCTCATGCTCTTCCCCTGGTCGATTTGCAGGAGAGCTGCTCCCTCTGCTGAGTTCTCAGTCGATCGCCACCGGCACCTGATGTCCTTCTTGACCATGCTGGGCCCCAGCCCTGACTGGAATGTGGGACTCTCTGCTGAGGACCTCTGCACCAAGGACTGTGGTTGGGTCCAGAAAGTTGTCCAGGATTTAATCCCCTGGGATGCTGGCACGGACAGTGGTGTTACCTATGAGGTACAGAAGCTGTTGTAATATATTCAAGTATACAACCTTAAAGCAGTGAAGAACGAAATGTGTTTGATCCATGGGAGTGCTGTACATGCCTTTATACTACTCTAGTAACAATTTTTCTTGTCGTGAATTTCAACAGATGTTAGTTACAGTTACTGTCAGTCGTTTTGCCCGAATTCCTTGAGCATTGTTATGCTCAAGGATAACATAAGCATATTATGTTATTACATGATATATTACATGCACCTGGGATATTATCACAGAATCACAGAATGGGTAAGGTTGGGAGGAACCACAGTGGGTCATCTGCTCCAACCTCCTGCTCAGAGTCATCCTAGAGCAGATTGCACAGGATTCTGTCAGGTTGTTGAATATCTCTAGTCAAACTCCACAACCTCCCTGGGCAATCTTCAGTGCATGGTGAAGAAGTTCTTCACGTTCACCCACTGTATTCACCTGTTGAACGAGTGGAGGACTTAGTTTGCTCAAAACTCTGCCTGAAGGCATCCAACCCCTTTGACACAGGCCCATGTGCCATCAGCAGCCATACCAGCTTGGGCTTTCTACTGTTTCAGCCCAAGTGTTCTGCCTGGCACAGAAAACTCACAATTCCTTACAGCAGGGATTGAAAGTCTGGGTTCCTTGTCACCACGAGACTCTAAAGTCATCTGTTTTCTCTGTCTCCATCACTCTCTCAGTCTAGGAAGAGATTCAGATCATCCTCAGGTAAAGTCCTGGTTTTGACCAAGGAAGTTATGTTATGTCAGGTGAATGAACTGGTTAGGGGTGATCCTGTGTCTATGCAGACAGTACAGACAGCTGAAATGAGCCAAGATTAGTCACATCCTCAAACACCACACATATTCCTTTGTCAGATGACAAAAGATGGTTGGTTTTTTAATTTCAGACCTGGTACCAATACTCCTTTGTCAGATGACAAAAGATGCTTGGTTTTTTAATTTCAGACCTGGTACCTTTACAGCCTAAGGAGTTTCTCCAGTTATAATCCAGTTCTGGAGGCATATTGAATATTTTTTGGTTTTTTTATTAATGTGGTTATTTAACCAGACAGCAAGGCATACATCTTAGTGTAATCCCAGCCTTGGGCTGACTCCTGAAGTGTTGGAGAAGTGCTCTCTGACAAAACAAAAAAAAAAACAAACCACAACAACCAACCAACCACCACCCAAAAGTAAAAAAACACAACAACAACCAACCAACCACCACCCAAAAAAAAAAAAAAACACAATAAAAAACCCCCATAAACCAAAGTAAAAAAGAAACCCTCCTACCATTTAGTATGAATGTACCAAGTTCATCTATCTTACATTGGAATTTCACAATTTAGCATTTCAGAGTTTTAATTTCTGCAGATGAAGTATATTATTAATTATTAGTTTCTTTTTTAACTTTTTTTTCTCTTTGATTGCAGTCTCCTAACAAACCTACAGTGCCTCAGGAGAAGATCAGACCACTTACAAGCTTAGATCATCCTCAAAGTCCATTTTATGACCCAGAAGGAGGATCTATCAAGCTGGTGGCCAGAGTTGTCATTGAGAGAATTGCACGCAAGGTATAACATATATGGAATATTCTCAAGCAAACCTACTCCACAACCCAAAAAACCCTATCCTTCCTTTGCCTTTCCTCCAAATCTATGCTCCTTAACCTACCCACATCAAAGATAATGGCAGAAAAATCTAAAACTGTCTAAAGGCATTAGTTCTCCTACTTCTGGTACTTATTGCATCTGCTTAATTGGAGATTTTCTTCAAGTATGTCTGGAAATTCAAAGAGAAGAAGGTGCTGCAGGGGCAATAGTGCCTCCCAGTATACTTGTTTAGCCCCTCTCTCTGCATTCATGTAGGAGTTTCCTGTATCCCAATCTCCATATAATTTTTTTGCAGGGGGAGCAATGCAATATCGTTCCTGATAACATAGATGATATTGTGGCAGATCTAGCACCGGAGGAAAAAGAAGAAGGTACATTTTAAATTAGTTTGCATGGTACTAATTTCTATTTTGTTTCATTCTCCACTGCTATTTGTAGATAAGGTACAAAACTGACTTAGGAGCAAAATTTCTACTTAGTGTCAGACAGTGATTTAGGTTTTCATCTCTTCTGTTATCTACTCTTAGCCTTCCCTTATACAGCAAAGAAATTGCATGTGTACCTGGAAGGTGACAGTAACAATACAGGCAGTGGAAGAGAGAAGCCTCTTGGGGTTCAAATAAGAAGTATTTTTTAAAATGAAAGTTGGCTGGTAATTCTTTTTTCTTCTATACTAAAATGGAGAAGATAGAATGCAGAAGGGAAAGACTGTATCCTACTAAAATCTAAAGTAATCATCAGCCAAGTAAAGATTATTTTTAATGTTCACTGCCTTTTCTTACTTTTTCAGATGATACCCCTGAGACCTGCATATATTCAAACTGGTCCCCATGGTCAGCCTGCAGCTCTTCTACCTGTGAGAAGGGCAAGAGGATGAGGCAGAGAATGCTTAAAGCTCAGCTGGACCTCAGTGTGCCCTGCCCAGACACCCAAGATTTTCAGCCATGCATGGGTCCAGGCTGCAGTGATGAAGGTAATCAGGAATGGAAAGTGGAGGAGAAGAACACCTTGTAGGGTTTACTCTTCATAGAAGAACCTTGTAGGGTTTACTCTTCATAGAAGAACCTTGTAGGGTTTACTCTTCATAGAAGAACCTTGTAGGGTTTACTCTTCATAGAAGAACCTTGTAGGGTTTACTCTTCATAGAAGAACCTTGTAGGGTTTACTCTTCATAGAAGAACCTTGTAGGGTTTACTCTTCATAGAAGAACCTTGTAGGGTTTACTCTTCATAGAAGAACCTTGTAGGGTTTACTCTTCATAGAAGAACCTTGTAGGGTTTACTCTTCATAGAAGAACCTTGTAGGGTTTACTCTTCATAGAAGAACCTTGTAGGGTTTACTCTTCATAGAAGAACCTTGTAGGGTTTACTCTTCATAGAAGAACCTTGTAGGGTTTACTCTTCATAGAAGAACCTTGTAGGGTTTACTCTTCATAGAAGAACCTTGTAGGGTTTACTCTTCATAGAAGAACCTTGTAGGGTTTACTCCTCATTTAGAGTTCTTAAGGCTGTCTGTTGCTGTAGTATGACTCAGGTTATGGGAAACAGAGGGATAATTCCTGGAGAACATGAATTGAAGCTGTCTGTGGTCAGTTCTGCAGTTCAGCTCAGCCAGTGCATGAAGTACACAGAAGTATAAAGAAAAGGAGTAGAGGAAGCAATGGAGGAGAGCACAGTGTGAAAAGCAGCCTAACAGTGATGCTGCACAGAAATGTGCAGGTACAGGTTTGTCAGCAGTTCTGTCAGTACTCACAATTGAAATGGTTCTCTGTGTTTTAGATGGTTCCACTTGCATGATGTCTGACTGGATTACATGGTCCCCCTGTAGTGTTTCCTGTGGAATGGGAACCAGGTCTAGAGAGAGATATGTAAAACAGTTCCCTGAGGATGGCTCCATGTGCAAAGTGCCTACTGAAGAGACTGAGAAGTGTATTGTAAACGAGGAATGCTGTAAGTATTTTATTGAGCTTTATAAAAATCAGCCAATAGCAGGAGCACTGCTAAAAACCTTTTTCTATATGAGCCCTACTTATGACCAGTTTTCTCTGTCCACTCTGAATAGCTCCCAGCAGCTGCCTTGTCACTGAGTGGGGTGAGTGGGATGAATGCAGTGCCAGCTGTGGCACAGGGATGAAGAGACGGCACAGGATGATCAAGATGACTCCTGCTGATGGCTCCATGTGCAAGGCAGAAACTACAGAAGCAGAGAAGTGCATGATGCCAGAATGTCGTGAGTGTCCAGGAGTTTATCTCCTCTGCTGCAAAGAGAGCATCATTTCTGACACATTGTTCCAGCACACAAAGAACAGCTAAACCAGAAACAGTTTTGCTTTTTCTTGTTCTCCTTAAAATTAGCTTTATGGAGTGTACATTAAGTACCACATTCCCCATCAGTAGGAAAACTTCAGTGGTATCCTATGACACAGTTGCTTTTTCTTGTTCTTCTTAAAATTAGGTTTATGGAGTGTGCATTAAGTACCACATTCCCCATCAGTAAGAAAACTTCAGTGGTATCCTATGACACACACAGCCAGACCTAAGCAACTTGTAAGTTATGGAATATGAGGTATATTTAGTCATAAGGTTAGAATAAAACAAATAAAACAGTGCCCTCTCCTTTCAGCCCGTGAACAGTTCAGAAATTGAGGTGC